GTGCTCGACGCCCTCGGCCCCAGCCTGGCGCCTCGACCCCGCCGAGTGCCGCGGCGGCCCTCGCCCCGCTCTGGCACGTCGCGAAGGCGGCGCGCAGCCCAAGGGCTCCCTCGAGGGCGCGAAGTGCTTCGCGCTTCGCGCCTCGCGGTCCTCGTTCCCTCTCCCCCTCCTCCTCGTCCTCCTTTCCTCCCTTTTTGGGGGGCGGCGCGAGAGCGCGAAGGCCTTCGCGCTGCGCGCGTCGCGGAGCGCGAGGCGCGAAGTTGGGAGCCCTAGGTAGCGCCCGCTTTCCAGCACGGCGGTGGCGCAGTGCGGCGGGCGCCATCGCGGCAGGGCACGGGCCGCAGAGACGGCCGATCCCGGCGGCCGTGCGCAGCCCCGCGGAGCTCCGGCTCGGGCACGACGCCGATGGCTGCTTCGCCTGTGAGGTGCTCGGCCGGCGCCTCCAGGCCTCCGGCCGGTGGGCGCCCCTGGCCACCTGGTGGCCGCCCCGTGCGTGGGCCGGCGTTGCCGGGCCTTCGGCCTGCAGGCGCCCGCGGCCGCCTCGTGGCCGCTCCGTGCGCCGGCAAGCGTCTTTGGGGATCTTTCATGGCGCCAACATCGCAGAGCGGATTCGGTGCGGAAAACCGTAGGATGGGCCCGGAGTGTCCTGGAGAATTTCGTTCCGGATTTCGAAGCGAATTTCGTTTGGTTCTGGGGATTTCTCCTGGCGCCAACATCGCAGAGCGGATTTCGGTGCGGAAAACCATCGGATGGGCCCGGAGTGTCCTGGGGAATTTCGTTCCGGATTTTGAAGTGAAGTTCGTCAGGATTCTTTCGGCCAGGAACGAAGGCTAAACAAACATCCACATGAAGATCACTGCGTTTTTCGCTCGCCATTCGGGGTTTTCCACCGCCAGAAATCCGCGCAAAAAACCGCTGCAGCACGTCTGCAAGGTCGGTGCAGTGAGACTTTCGCCCAGTGTCGAAGAAGAGAAGAAGAAACAACAGCATAAACATAAATTCTTGACGCCCATCCAGAAAAGATCAGCAGGGGAGTTGGTGAACCAGTGACGGCTGGAAGCATGCAGTTGCGCGGCAGTCTTCAGAAAAACGTGGATCACGCATAGCTTTCCGCATTGAAGTTCGAGATGAAATCAGTTCAAGATACGACGTGGTGCTCCCCGTGGTAAACGTATCCAGCGCAGGTGGCTGTATCCACCCTGGGCCATGAGAAACAGAGATCACACATGGCTTCCCGTAGTGAAGTTTCATGGTAAGCGTCTCTGGCGCAGGTGACTGTATCTATCATCCGTCGCCCTTGTCGCACAGTTGAGAGTCGCCTCCCCATATGTATCCTTGATCTCTGCCCCCGTACTGAAGTTTATCTTAAACTCACGTGCGGCTGCTGGTGCTGGTGATTGATGGTGGTGGTGGTGATGGTGGCGATTGTGGTGATGCTGCTGGTGTTGCTGCTTGTGGTGCTCTGTTGCCCTCTTGGGGCCATCTTGGAGCAAGTGGTGCTGCTGGTGCTGGTGATGCCTGGGGCCATCTTGGGGGTAAGAGGAGTATGAGGAGGAGTAGGAGGAGTAGGAGGAGGATGAGGAGGAGGAGGAGAAGGAGGAGGAGGAGGAAGAGACAAGGAGGAGGGGCAGGAGGAGGAGGAGCAGGAGGAACGCGGTGCGAGGAGGATAAAGAGCAGCAGGGAGGCGGCAGGAAAGAAGCAAGGATGGAACAGACGATGACAAGGAGGACGAGAAGTCGGGCTTTGGGCATATGTCGTGGTGAGGGGTTCTTCAAAACCTCCCAATGACATTTGGGCGCCATCTTGGGGTCCTCTTGGGGTCCTCTGGGGGCCTTTTTGGGACCCTCTTGGGTTTTTTTGATGGGTCTTGGGGCCTTTTGGGGCTCTTTTGGGGGGTCTGGGAGGCCTCTTGGGGCCGTCTATGACCCCTTCGCTCAAAAAGAGGGGGGTCTTAAATTTAGGACCCCCCTCGGAGGCCCAAAAGGGGCGTCTTGGGGCCCTCTTGGACCGCTCTTGGGCCGCTCTTCCGCGCTCTTGAAGCCGTCTTGGGGCCCTCTTGGGCCTGTCTTGGGGCTATGTTGGGTCATCTTGGGGCCATCTTGACGCTTGAAGAGCCCATCGGATGCGAAAAAGATAAAAGGCAAAACGCATGGATCTTCCTTTGGGTTTGAAACCATTTTGGCCCCTTGGGGGGGTTCCTTTGGAGGGCTCGGAGGGCACTTGAAACTATCTTGAGGCCGTCTTGGGGCCTCTCGGATGCGTGTCGGAGGCTATCTTGAGCCATCTCGAAGTATCTTGGGCCATCTTGGAGGCCATCTTGGGCTATCTAAAACCCTCTTGGAGCTATCTTGGGCCATCTTGGACGCTCTAACCCCTCGCCCCCCCCCCCTTCCAGACCCAGGGAAGGGGGGGGGGAGGTAAACCTCCCGAGCAGGAAAAGGAAGGAGGTTGCAAAAGGCAACGCTCCAGACCACCTGCGCCCAGAGGGCTGGTGGGACGGGGGGCGCTCCGCGCGGGGTTCTTGGATCCGCGCTGGGCCCCCCCGGCGGCGCCAGGGGCGCCGCCCCGGGAGCGCTCCGCGAGCCAGGGAGGGGGGCCCAGCGCAGATCCAAGGCATCCGCGCGGAGCTCCAAACGTTTCTGTTCATCCGTCTTTCTGTTTTCCTTCTGCAGCGGGCACCCGCGGCCGCCTCGTGGCAAGGTCCGTGCCTGTCGGCCGGTCGGGCGCCTGGTGGCCGCCTGGTGGCCGCCCTGTGCGTCGGCCGGCGTTTCTGGACCTTCGGCCAGGTGGGCACCCGTGGCCGCCTCGTGGCCGCCCCGTGATTGCCGGCTCGCGTGCCCAGCTCGTCGCGCAAGGGACGCCCGTGGCCGCCTCGTGATGCGAGGCCCGGCTGGACTATTAAAACGACGCGAAGATCGGGACAAAATCGGATCGGGATAACTCGAAATCTCTGAGAATCGGTGGGTTTGGAGGATGCATTGGGCGCCGCGGCCGCTCCAGAGCGTTCCGGAACGCTCTGAGAGCGCTCCGGAACGTTCTGGAGCGATTTATCCCGATCCTAGCCATGTTTTAACTATCCTTCCGCGCCGTCGTTTCTCTCAAACAACACCATGGGGCCCGCACGCGTCGACGAGTCGATCGAGCAAGCGTGTCTTGCCGGAGTATCTGTCAAATTATCCAGTGGCGCTGCCGCGCGGCTCCGCCACCGCGCTCGGGCGGCCGCCTGGGGGGAGGCCCTTCTTGAGGGCCTCTTGGGGGTCTTTTGGGAGCCTCTTAGGGTCTCTTGGTGGTCTCGTGGGCCATCTTGGGGCGCTCCTGGCCCGTTTGACGCCTTCGGAGGCCGTCTCAACGGTCTCTCTGGGCTAGCTTGGGGCCTTCTTGGGTCGCTTCGGCGCCGCCTTAGAGGTCTCTTGGACCGTCTGGAGGCCCCCCTGGGGTCATCTTGGGGGCCGTTGGGGTCATTTTTGGGCCCTCTTGTGGCCATTTTCGGGGCCTCTTGGACCCTCTTGGTGCCTCTTGGAGCCCACTTGGGCCCACTGAGGGAATCGGAAGCTCGAAGAGGTGCCAACGCTAACACGGTTCAAACACCGAGAATCTTTCTTGTATCGATTTTGGTGGTGTTTTCATCTTCCGGCTCTCACCAGGGTCCTCTTGAAGGCCTGTTGGGGTGACTTGAAGGTGTCTTGGGCCGTTTTGGGGCCATAACTGGCAATCTTGGCTGGCTAATCTTGGACCGCCGTGAAGGCTGCATAGGGCCATTTCGTTCGACTTGGAGGCGACCGTGGGCGTCTTGGAAGCCATCTGGGGACACTTGGGCCCTCTTGGAGGCCCTCGTGGAGCCGCAATGAGGGCGGGGGAAGGGGCGGGGAAGGGCAGGACGCGCGCCTCTGGGGCGGGGGGGAGATGCTACGGACCGTTCATTTGGACGCTCGAAGTGGGGGCGGAAAAAGAGTTGGTACGATTCTCAACGCCACATGTTCGGAAACTGGAACGTATACATTACCAGTGGCGGGGTGTTTCTTGAAGCCCAGGACTCCGTGAGGGTCGGGGACGACGCTGGGGTGGTGTGGTGTATACCTTTTTCCCCGATGTCCCGGGAAAACAACGAAAAAAATATACACCAGGACCCCGTATACACCAGAATCCGCGTTCCTGTGGGAATTGCAGCGCAGGGTCGGGAAAAGCGTCGGTGTATAGAGTTCGTTTCCCTACATGTTGTCCAAAACCGACAGCGGCCGCTGTTGGCAGGCGGCCTTCTGTCTCACATGGACAACGTTGGCGGCGGCACCGACAGCGAGCCCAGTTCAAGGTGAACAGGAAATGTTGTCGGTCGTTGTGCCCATTCCTGCCCTGCCCATTTCGCTCGTCCCGAGTCCTTCCCAGAACTTTGTATTTGGGGCGATCTTCCATTGGGACGGCAAACGTACGCCGGAACTTGGGCAAACAAGTGAACGCATGTTGGTCGGGGGTTGATAGACCTCCTACCCTGACACGTCGATTAGTGAATTGGCCGTTTTCGGTTCGCGAGAGAGCGTCGCGGCCGTTATTTTTGCGGGTCCAGGTCCGTCGGTTTCGGTCCCAGGCCGTTTTCACTAAGGGGAGGTTTACTAAAGGGAGGTTTGTCCACCGCCGAGTTGGGCTGGGTTGGTAAGGGGGCCAGAGTTCTTTCTTCACACGAAGCGAACGTGACGGAACAACAACAACGGCCCGACACACCAACCGCTGCCAGGGCGGCGGCGGATACTGCGGGGGCCACACGCACGCGCCTTCCTCGCGAGCATGTCGAACTTGCGAGCAAGTCCCAGCGGGTGCACGTCGAGCATATTTCTCTCCAGCGTTCCATGATCTGGCTCGTTCGCATCGGTTGGTATTTTCAGACATGTCAGAGTTTGCGCATGCGCAGTTGCTAAAACCACATCCTGCCATCTTGGTCAAGAAAGACCATGTGGGCCACTCCCGCGCGCCCCCGCGAGCATGTCGAAGTCATTCGAACACCATCGCTCAGTTGCTGAAACCGTAAGTTGGAGAACTTCCCCGTTCACCGTGTCACATAATACCATGCCGGCCACGCGCGCATCCCCCCGCGCGCGCAGGTTGCATTCATGTATTGTCTAATCCAATTTCAAGATGTACCATTCAGACACATGGTTTTAAAACAACACTTGTTTTCCAGTGAACGCATTTCTGGCTTCACCCCGACGTCATCATCATTCGCCTGCCCGTCGTCATCGTTATTCGCTTGCCTGCGTCATTGAGCCTGTTGGGACTGGCTCGCCAGGTCCGATATGTAACTGCTCTGAGTATTGCCAACGAGTTGCGGGTGCGGTGGGTGGGATGTTTGTTCTGTCGTTGGAGTTGACGGTTTCAGGTTTTCGGAGTATTTCATTTCCGTTCGTCAGAAGAATGGAATTTACTCACCCCTCCAGACTGGGGTTGGCACGATGGTCCACCCTACATGGAGTCGTGCCATCCGACCAGGTCTCCTGATTCCCCTCTTCACTCTTGTCAAATCGGACTATTTGGAGCACTCGGGTTGATATTACACGAGTGTGCGTATGTTCCCGATGAGCCCGTATCAAATAATAGCATAAGGTTCGCACGCGCGCGCACACGTCAAGCAGCATTTCTGTTACATTCACATAATATCATGCAACACTTGTCAATAACTATTGCTTGTAGGAACAAGCGGCGAGATTTCTTTTGTGCGTGCACTAGCTGTTACCAGTATGGAAACCATAAGCTCTTTGCCACCATCTGAAATGAGGCTATGCGGGCCGCACTCGCGCGCATGTCGAAATCATCCAGCAAGTATCGCGCACCCGCCAATCCTGACAAACTACATCATGCCACACGCGCGCGCCCTCGCGGGCGCATGCTGAAGTCATTGCAGATCAGTTTTTGTCTTGGGCAGTCCGAGGTCATTTCCCGAGAAGACATGAATCACACGTATTCATGGACATCTATTTCAGAGATTTTGCATGCTCGCACGTCCTCGTCGCCCCCATCAGCATCATCGCCATGTCCATCGCCAGCGTCATCATTGCCATCGTCATCGCCATCATCGTCATCGCCACCGCCTTCATCACAGTGGCATCGCCGTCGACGTTGTCGTCGCTCTCGCCATCGTCGCCACCACCATCGCAACCATCATCGGCATCATCGTCTTTGCCGATGCCGCCGCCGCCGCCATCACACGCCTGCCCGAGTCGTGAACCTGTATGACAAGGGTCATTGTGTCGTTGCGCCAGCGGGGTTTTGCCAAGGAACTGCGGGCAGATGGGCGGGATGTTTGCTCGAGCATTGGGTTTGGTGACCCCAGGTAGTTGCACACCGTAGCATACACCACGTAGTCTGCACCACTTAGCTTGCACCACATATACTGCACTCTGGATGTTACGCCGTGTAGGTTGGACAACATAGCATGCATCACACAGGTGGTATCTCATCTATTGCATCGCACATTGTCTCCCGTCTAAGGGGCCACCTATGTTTCTCCAGTGCTGAGGCCAGGCTTAGCGGAACCGAGGTTTTCGAAATACATTCCGCGCAACACATTTTGAACACGATTTCATGCAACCCCAGACGTTCTCTTGATATTGTTCCCATGTTTGTCAAATCATTTTCGGTGGCAAGCTCGGGGGGATCGCACACGCGCGTTTTCGATGGACCAGTATAGAACGCATTGCGTGTCACGTACGCGCGCGTGCGGAACTCAGTTAGCAAACGCGTCAGCGTTCATGCCAGTCTAAGCAACAGCCAACAAACCATATTGCGAACAATCATGCCCAATGTGCGCAACCTTCCATCGGCTACACAGTCAACACCATTTCGTCCAGCACATCCTGTGATATAGGGCCATCGTTTGTAGAACCGCCTCGCGTCACTCCCTCTTCCCGCTCCTCCTTCCATTCCTCCCTCCTCCCATCCATGCCTCTGCCCTCGGCATGTCCGTGTCGGCACACCTTTCACATGTTCCGTCGCCCCATGGGGCGTTCCACCGACTGCCCCAGCGGTGGGGTTCGCATGGCGTGCCCGATCCCACTTTGGCACACCACTCACGCATTTCGTGGCCTCGTGGGGGGCTACACAGGAAGCTTCAGCGGAAGGGTTCGCATGGCATGCCAGCCTCGCAGTTCGGCACACCCCCACACTTTGCGTGGCCCCGTAGGGAGCTCCACCGAAGGCCCCAGCAGCAGGGTTCGCATGGTGGACCCGCACCCACTTCAGCCCCCCCCCCCCCCCCTCACACGCTTCGTGGCCCCGTTGGGAGCTCCACCGAAGGCCCCAGCGGCAGGGTTCGCATGGCGCACCCGCCCCCCCATTCGGCACACCCCTCACACGTTTCGTGGCCTCGTGGGGAGCTCCACTGAAGGCCCCAGCGGCAGGGTTCACGTGGAATACCCACCCCCACTTCGGCACACCTTTCACACGTTTGTGGCCCCCTGGAGAACACGTTTCGTGGCCCCATAAGGGGGGTCATGATTCTTTTGTCCCATGTGCCTTTCGGTATTCGCGCCTGCATCCGTTTGGCTCAGTCGCCGCTTTTTGTTCAAAGCGATCTTGTTTGATTTCCGTGGCCTGCTTATCACCGTATCCAAACCAAGCAATGTGGGCCAAACGCGAGCCCCCCCCCCCCTATTCGTGCGAGAAAGTCTACCTCATTGAAGCCATAATTTATGTTGCTTGAGCCGTTTCAAAGTATAGTTGTCGAACCACATCTGCATTGCAACTCGCCGATGTCAAGTTCTTCGATGTGTTTTTTACCGCATATGCTGCATCCCGCGCAGAATACGCGATGCACTAATTGCACCAAGTGTGATCTATCCCGAACATATCTAAATACATGTATATAGACATCTGTGTATATATACATTAACGTGCAGCATCTGATTCGGTGCACTTCGTATCTGTCGCAGAACCTATTCCTCAGCATACACAGACTGACCCATGCCCATGCAGAGTGCAGCAACCAACTGTTTGAGATTCATGCTGGCCAACATTATTATCCAACTCAGGTGATTGCCACCACTACCCCTCACATTCATCCTACATTTCCAAGTACACCAGCTCGTGGTACAGTTGCGAAGTTTCCTTGCTAGTGATATTTCCAATGACGTTTTTTACTGCCACTTCAAGGGGCGTGCGCACGATGTGCCAGACAGTCTTGAAGACATGCGTGCGTAAGTGATGCTCGACACGTTTCATGTTGCACGTCGGTGTGGTGTTGTCTTTCTGGCGCTCTTCCAAACACCGCGCACGTAGGGCGGATGTTCTACCTCTGTGCGTTGTCAGTCTGGACGCTTTGCAGTCTCGGATCGTGGGTGGGACCAGGCGCATGCACCAAGTCGTCGCGGCGTTGCTCTCCGCCGACGGACATATAGCTGTGGCGGGCAGGGGGCGGCGCTGCTGATGGGGTCGACGGGGGGCGCTGGATCCGGGCAGCGAGAGCTGAGAGGCGGAGGAGGAGGAGGAAGATGAGGAGGAGGAAGAGGAGGGGGAGGAGGAAAATGAGGAGGAGAAGGAAGATGAGGAGGAGGAGGAGGAGGAGGAGGAAGGAGGAAGGAGGAAGATGAGGAGGAGGAGGAGGAGGAAGATGAGGAGGAGGAGGAGGAAGAAGGAGGAAGATGAGGAGGAGGAGGAGGAGGAGGAGGAGGAAGAGGAGGAGGAGGCTATAACTTTGCACAGGCCCTGGCCAGGCCCAGCCTGTGCCCCGGAGCGGTGTGCACGCCCGCCTGCCCCGAGCCAAGGGAGGTGCACGCACCGCTGCCGAGCCCTGGACGGGCCCGTCCAGGGGACTCCGTGAGGGTCGGGGACGACGCTCGGGACGACCGTGGGCGATTGGGAAGCCATCTGGGCACACTTGGCTCTTCCGGCTCTCACCAGGGTCCTCTTGAAGGTGTCTTCATCTTCCGGCTCTCACCAGGGTCCTCTTGAAGGCCTGTTCGGGTGACTTGAAGGTGTCTTGGGCCGTTTTGGGGCCATAACTGGCAATCTTGGCTGGCTAATCTTGGACCGCCGTGAAGGCTGTATAGGGCCATTTCGTTCGACTTGGGGACGACCGTGGGCGACTTGGAAGCCATCTGAGGACACTCGGGTTTTCTTGGAGGCCCTCGCGGAGCCGCAGTGAGGGCGGGGGGAGGGGCGGGGAGGGGCAGGGCGCGCGCCTCTGGGGCGGGGGGGGATGCTACGGACCGTCCATTTGGGCGCTCGAAGTGGGGGCGGAAAACAAATTGGTACGATTCCCAACGCCACATGTTCGGAAACTGGAGCGTATACGTTGCCAGTGGCGGGCTGTTTTTCAATCCCAGGACTCCGTGCGGGTCGAGGACGACGCTGGGGTGGTGTGGTGTACACCTTTTTCCCCGGTGTCCCGGGGAAGCAACGAAAGATGTACACACCAGGGTCCCGTGTACACCAGGATCCGCTCTCCAGTGCAACATCTCAATGCAGGGCCTGGCAAAAAGCGTCGGTGTATAGAGTTCGATTCCCCAATGTGCACGCTTGGCGCACGCGCGACACAGGAGGCGCTGAGGCTGCGGCGAGGGGCGGGATGTGAGGCGATGCGAAGGCCTGGAGGCGGAGGAGCGGCGGCGTCGCTTGGACTGAGGGGGGGGGTGGACGCGCAGTCAGAGCCCGCTGGAAGGGAAACGCTCTCGGGAAAGATTCTGGGTCTTACCCTCCCCGCCTACTCCGCCTTCTTCTTCTCCTCCTCCTCCTCCTCCTCCTCCTCCTCCTCCTCCTTCTCTTCTCTTCTCTTCTCTTCTCTTTAGCTCCGCTCCTCCTCCTACCTACCCTTCCCTTAACTGTCTGATGCTATTTCACCCCCCCCGCATCGAGGGTGGCAACCTGAAATCTCAGACCTCAAAGGGGACGGGGCCGGTAGAACTTACACCCCCTGCGAGTTCTCCAAAACACTCCGTACTGGCAACGCCTCGGTAATGCGGGTCCGAGATGAAGGGCGCACCCGGGAGATCGAACTGAAGAGCTTGGGTGGGTGGGTGGGCAGTGAGCATCGCTCCCTCGTGACTCGTCCCATCCCTGCAGAGACGACCATGCCTGCAGGCGCCCGACAGACGCCACTGACAGGCGAACATGTCCTGTAGATCCACTGGCAGCGCGGGGGCGTGACTCCCCGACCAACGAACGCACTTAATGCGCCGATGGTTGCCTGCACCAGATACGGCCACTGAGCGGCCCAAAGTTGTGAGCCCCTGAATGGCCTGTCGATCGCACACTGGCTGCGCGGGGTCGTGACACCCCGGACCAGCAATGACACGCTGAACGCGACTGCTAGCAATCTCACCGAGAACGGCCACTGAGCGGCCCAGACTGTCCTGACCCCTGAGTGGCCAGACAGCCGTGCACCGACAGCGCGGGGACCTGAGACCCCGGCCAGCATGACGCACTGAACGCGACTGCTGGCTGCCTGCGCCGAGGACGGCCGCTGAGCGGAACTGCACGGGCAGGTCATATGACGACGTTGGGCAGGTGCAGATCTCCGAATTTCCGAAAGGCTTCGCCTTCCTCCAATTCGGGCCACCTCCTCAGTCTCCCCGTGACCCCCCCTTCCAGCCCCTTCTCCCTCCCTCCTTTCCAAGACCTCTTCCGCCTCTCCTCTCCGCGGCCTCGCGGGCCTGGCCCCTGGGCCGCGACCCCGCGGATATGGGGCGCTCTTGCGCTGATGCACCGCGCGGAGTGTATCCGTGCGAGCGCGTATCCGCGAGATCGCGTGCCAGAATCCAGACCGCGAGGGCGCGGATACGGATATGTTCGCCGCTCGTGGGATGTATTGCTCGTCTGCCTACGGCGCGAAAGCATGTGCTTGTGGTGGTTTGACATCGATGGCAAGACATTGCAAGCGACGACGCATACATCTGGCCCGATTCGATAACGCGTTGGATGGCACGGGGGGGCGCGAGATCCACGGTGGCAGCGGGCTACGAAAGAGAGAGAGAGAGGGAGAGAGAAAGGGAGAGAGAGAGAGAGAGAGAGAGAAAGAATTAACCCACACGGGGCGCAACGATATCGTTAGTGACTCTGATCATTTCTGTAGGCCGCCGCTAGTGTCCAATCCCACTCCGTCGATTTTATTTGTCGCCCGCTGTGCCTTGTCAGGGGATGCAGGTAGTGGATGTGGGCTCGCAGAAGAGATTAAATCTATACACTAACACCTGGATCCGAGTGTTGACCTTTTTTAATCCGACTGTCCCTCGCATGATTAGCATGCGCAGTCTCCAGGAGTTGAGGCGCCCTGGCATTATTGTACTCGCCGCCCCCTTGTCCAATGGCCGCCTGCCCGTGTAAGCCTGCGCTCCGGCACACACGCACAAGATTTTTCTGCTGTGTTTCAATTCGCCACGGATGCGTCCCGCCATTGTTTTGACCGCGTCTTGGACCCAAGTCGCCGCTGACAGAAAACAGTTTGGAGGGGGAGGAGGAAGAGAGGAGGAAGAGAGGAGGAGGAGGAGGAGGAGGAGGAGGAGGTGGAGGAGGAGGAGATTGGGGGAGGACGAGTAGGAGGATGAAGAGGAGGAGGAGGAGGACGAGGAGGAGGAGGAGGAGGAGGAGGAGGAGGACGAACAGGCGAGGCAGAGGGCCCCCGGATGGTGTACAGATCCTCCGGGTCTCGGCCAGGAGGGCGTGCACACACGATGCCGGGACTCGGGTGCCTTGGCGCTGCGTGCGGCCAGGCCGATGCCAGCAGAGCTGGCGGAACGCAGGCTGCGGGTGAAGAGGGCGGCGGCGGCGAGGGCGGCGGCAGGCTGGGCGGCGGTGGAGGCCAGCCACAGCTGGGGGAGCTGTGGTCCTTACCCCCCTGGGGGACCCATCGATTTCGACACCCCTCTCGAGAGATCATCGAGGCGATGGGTTCCCCCAGGGGGTTAAGGACCACAGCTCCCCCAGGTATGACCGGGCGGCGGCGGCGAGGGCAGGGCCGCGGCGCCCTCCAAGATCTGCAGGGGCTCGGGGCCGGCATGTGATCGGCCCGCGGCGCCGACGTGGCCCTGCCTGGGCGGGGCAGCGCGCCAGCGGCGTCGGGGCTCAGCGTCGCTGAACCGATCCCTATCCCCATCCCGATCCCCACCATCTCAGCATCTCAGCTGGAGATATGCCCCTCGAAGCTCGAACGGAGCGGCCTATATCCGCATCTAAGGGGGGAAATCGGCCAGTGGGGCCCAGGCCACGCCCACGGGGTCAGCGCATGAACCGCACTACAGTCGAAGCCAGTAACCGATGGTAGGGATGGGTAACCGTCCCGGGATACCCTTGCATCCTTGCCTCTTCGGTGCATCCTTGATCCCTTTCGGTGGCCCGCCGCGCTCGAGAAAAGCTTCCACACAGGCGTCCAGGGCCCTTGCATCTCCTTGCCTTGCATCCTTACTATCAATTTTGACCGTACCCCCCCGAGGATGAAGAAGGGAGAGCTGGGCGGGCCCTTCCAGTCACACAGCCTGCGGTTTCGCCTTGAGTCGGGCGCGCTGGCGACGCGGTGTTTTGCAGTGGGGGGCGCCTCATGCCACCACCTGGCCCGAGGGGGTATGCGGTTCAGTTTCGGGATAGGCAACTGACATTATCATTGTAGCCCTTATGGGCGTTGGTGATTGCATGCTCACTGTTGATAAGTCCTGGCCTCACACATTGATATGTTGATGTGAGCGCCTGAGAAGCCAATCGCTATTCTATCTTCGTCGCGGGGCGAAAGATGCTTGTTCCATCGCGTTGTTAAGCAACGCGTGTTGTGTATGATCTTCATCGTTGTTCGGGGTGACGATGATGATAATGGATGAGGGGGGTGTACGAGGAAGAGGAGGAAGACAGAGAGGGGGATGCGCAGGTGGAGGAGGGGGAGGTGGAGGAGGACGGAACGGAGGGACACAGAGGAAGACGATAATGAATATTTGTAAGGATGATGATGCTGCTGATGATGCTGATGATGATACTCATGATGATGATGATGGTGATGCTGCTGCTGCTGCTGGTGATGATGGTGATGGAGAACGTGATGATGGTAATGCGATGCTGATGCGGCTGATGATGATGGCCGTGACGGTGATGGTGGTGATGATGCTGCTGATGGTGCTGATGATGCTTATGACGATTCTGATGATGGTGATGATGATGATGATGCTGCTGCTGATGCAGACGATGATGACGATCGTGCTGCTGCTGATGATGGTGATGGCGATGGTGATGTCGACGATGATGATTATGATGCCGATGCAGATGATGATGATGACGATGATGATGATGATGATGATGATGATGATGATCATGACGACGCTAATGATGCTGATGATGCTGATGCTGATGATGAGGATGATGCTACTGCTGATGATGATGCTGATGCTGCTGCTGATAATGATGATGCTGATGCTGGTGATGTTG